GCTGAGGTAGGAGGATTGCTCGAACCTGGGAATTCAAGGCTGTAGTGTGCTGTTGATTGCACCACTGCATTCCAGCCTGCGTGACAGAATGAGACCCTGTCTTAATAAATAAAAAAATAAACATATATACATACATATATTCATACATGAAATGATGACAAAGGATTTTGGGGGTTTTCTTGAGACAAGGTCTTGCTCTGTCGCCCAGGCTGGTGTGCAATGGCACAATCATGGCTCACTGAAACCTCAACCTCCCAGGTTCAAGTGATTCTCCCACTTCAGCTTCCTGAGTAGCTGGGACTACAGTCACGCACCACCACACCCAGCTAATTTTTTAAATGTTTTGTAGAGATGGGGTCTCACTATGTTGCCCAGGCTGGTCTGAAACTCTTGAGCTCAAGCAATCCTCCCACCTCATCCTCTCAAAGTGCTGGGATTATAGGCGTGAGCCACCAAGACCAGAAGACTTAGAACATTACATAAACTTAGTTAATAAAGTAGTGGCAGGGTTTGAAATTTTGAAAGGTCTACTGTGGAGAAAAATGTTATTAAACAACATCACGTTACAGAGAAATCTGTCGTGAAAGGAAGAATCAATTGATGCAGCAAATTTCATAGGTTGTCTTATTTAAAAAAATTGCCACAGCCACCCCAGACAATTACCACCCTGATCAGTCAGCAGCCATCAATATCAGGACCCTCCACCAGCAAAGATTACAACTCACCGAATAGCAATTTTTCACAATAAGTATTTCTAAATTAAGATACGTACTTTTGGCCAGGCACTGTGGCTCATGCCTGTAATCCCAGCACTTTGGGAGGCTGAGGTGGGCAGATCACGAGGTCAGGAGTTTGAGACCAGCCTGGCCAACATGGTAAAACCCCATCTCTACTAAAAACACAAAAATTAGCTGGGTGTGGTGGTGGGCACCTGTAATCCCAGCTACTCAGGAGGATGAGGCAGGAGAATCGTTTGAACCCAGGAATTGGAGGTTGCAGTAAGCTGAGATCATGCCACTGCACTCTAGCCTGGGTGACAGGACGAGCCTCTGTCTCAAAAAAAATAAATAAATAAAAATAAATAAATAAATAAATAAATAAAAGAAGTACTTTCACTATACATATTATTGTACACTTAAGAGACTACAGTATAGTATAAACATAACTTTTATATGCATTGGAAAATAGAAAAATTGGTGTGACTTGCTTTATTATATTTGCTTTATTGCAGGGGTCTGGAACCAAACTTGCCTTAGCTCTGAAGTATGCCTCTACTTAGAAGAGTACCTAGCACATAGCAAGTTCTATACAAGTGTTGGGTATTCTTATTACAGCTTTCCCATCTCTGTCTTTTAGGGAGTGCAATGGCACCATCTCAGCTCACTGTAAGCTCTGCCTCCCAGGCTCACGCCATTCTCCCGCCTCAGCCTCCCGAGGAGCTGGGACTACAGGCACCCACCACCATACCCGGGTAATTTTTTTGTATTTTTAGTAGAGACAGGGTTTCACCATGTTAGCCAGGATGGTCTTGATCTCCTGACCTTGTGATCCGCCCGCCTCGGCCTCCCAAAGTGCTGGGATTACCATCTGTCTTTTTTTGTGGCTCTCACATTTTGGTGCAACCTGGGTTAAAATACAAACTGTCAAAAAAAAATTAAATAAAAGCTGGCAAGTCTCTTTTAAATAAGGAAGGCTTCTCCAGAAGTTCCCCAGGCTTCCCTTTCCATCTAATTAGTGAGAACTGTATCATATGCCCATGCCTAAATCAATCACTGTCTAGGGAGCTAGAGTTACAATGATCGGTTTAGAGTTTATATCAATACCCACCCCCTGGGGTAAGGAAGGGTGGCCAAATTCCCAGTTAGTAAAGTAGTAGTAATGGTGATAAGACAAATAATGTCTGCAAGACTCATGAGGTTGTAGTCTCTGCTAGAGAGAGTCACAGTAAAGCCATCTCCAGAGCTACGAATATCACCCCTACAGGGCACCTAGTGGCAGGGAAATCACTACAAAAGTCTGTTAAGGGTAATGACATTTGGCACAGCAGAAATAGTGTAGGATATATGACTGAGCTAGTGGAGAGTACACGTAAGAGGCAGTGAAACACAGCAGGTTCCGTATTTGTGGGCATGTGAAGGCAGGCTGTTAAGAGTCTCCAGTGCCCAAAGGATCCAGATTACCAACCTTGGACTAGTCACCTAATCTTCTCAAAGCCTCAGTTTATAATTGTAAATGGAGATAACCCAAGATACCTTAGATTAGATGTTAGGATTAAATGAATGCATTAATTTGATCTACATGGGGTATAGATAAAACAAAAAGCTGACATTCATAAAGACAAGCTACGATGAGGGACAGATACCTGAGATGGAGCTGGAAAGGGGAAGTTACCTGACTCTAGGCTAAAAATCCCCTTCAAGACCTTGGTCAGGTTTTGTTGCTTCACTGAAGACTTTCATGTTGAACTGTACCAGAATAGGACTAACTTTATTTCTTAACTCCTTAAGTCTTCTTATAGATTTATGTGCTGCAAAATGGGTAAGAATCTTACTTCTGGCTTTGTGGCTTATTGGCTGTGTTATCTTCTCTGAGGCAGCTTCCCAATCTATAAAACTGAGTAGGCCGGGCGCGGTGGCTCAAGCCTGTAATCCCAGCACTTTGGGAGGCCGAGACGGGCGGATCACGAGGTCAGGAGATCAAGACCATCCTGGCTAACACGGTGAAACCCCGTCTCTACTAAAAAATACAAAAAACTAGCCGTGCGAGGTGGCGGCGCCTGTAGTCCCAGCTACTCGAGAGGCTGAGGCAGGAGAATGGCGTAAACCCGGGAGGCGGAGCTTGCAGTGAGCTGAGATCCGGCCACTGCACTCCAGCCTGGGCGACAGAGCGAGACTCCGTCTCAAAAAAAAAAAAAAAAACAAAAAAAACCAAAAAACTGAGTAAATCTCTACTTATTTCACTGAGCTTATTAAACAGTAGTTCCTTCCCTTTGAGGCAATAGTGTTTCTGAAACTGAAGACCAATACAAAGTTTATAACATAAAGTTTATAACATAAAACCCCCTAAATTTTTTTCACTGATAGATGAAGATCCAGCTACTAAGAAAGGCCTATCAGTCTTATTACTCAATAGAGAAACCTGGAAACCAGAGTGCTTAAGGGAAAGGAACATTATTGAAAGTGGAAAAGAATCTGCTCTCGGCCGGGTGCAGTGGCTCAAGCCTGTAATCCCAGCACTTTGGGAGGCCGAGATGGGCGGATCACAAGGTCAGGAGATCGAGACCATCCTGGCTAACACGGTGAAACCCCGTCTCTACTAAAAATACAAAAAAATTAGCCAGGCGTGGTGGCAGGTACCTGTAGTCCCAGCTACTCGGGAGGCTGAGGCAGGAGAATGGCATGAACCCGGGAAGGTGGAGGTTGCAGAGAGCCGAGATCAAGCCAATGCCTGGGTGACAGAGCGAGACTCCGTCTCAAAAAAAAAACAATAAATAAATAAAAAGATTTCAAAGTGGGCCCACATGCAAAAACAAAAAACAAAAACAAAACAAAACAAAAACCCCAAAGACATTTACAACTTTGCCTAGGGTTAAAAGTTTTTTCCCCCTTTCTCCCAGTCCAACCACTAGAGGGCCAGGTCATTTAAAAAAAAAAAAAAAAGGCCGGGCGCGGGCGCAGTGGCTCACACCTGTAATCCCAGCACTTTGGGAGGCCGAGGCGGACCGATCACTTGAGGTCAGGGGTTCGAGACCAGCCTGGCCAACACGGCGAAACTCTGTCTCTACCAAAAAAAACACAAAAATTAGCCGGGCGTGGTGGTGGGTGCCTGTAATCCCAGCTACTCGGGAGGTTGAGGCAGGAGAATCGCTTGAACCCGGGAGGCAGGAGGTTGCAGTGAGCCGAGATTGCGCCACTGCACTCCAGCCTGGGCGACAGAGCAAGACTCTATCAACAACAACAAACAGCAGTTACAAACTAGGTTTGGGAGTGTTCACCCTGGCTTAGCTACTGTATATGACCTTGGCTAAGTTACTTTACCTCTCTAAAGCTCAGCTTCCACATCTGTAAAATAGCAACAATGGTAGCATCTATTTCCTTAGGTTGTACAAATTAAGCAAAACAAGACATGTAAAGCAAACAGAACAATGCCCGCACGTAAAAAGAGCTTAGCAAATTTCAGTTTTTACTGCTGTAGAGGAATTACCACTTTTGGTTGTCTCTAAATCCAAAGACTTCGCTATGGTATTCTCTCTGAACAGAGGCCTTGCCAGCCGAAGTGCCCTCAGAAAGATCAACAGGTCGCTCCTTTTCTCCTTACCAGGGCCAGCCCAGAACCTAAAGTCCCCAACCTAAAGATGGCCAAGAGGACTTGGCCTTTGGTGTTCTACCATCACAAGGGATGCCACTATGAGCCCAACCGAACCACACTATTTCCGCCTTGATTCCGTTCTCCCGGCCTTCAGCGGTGCAAGCTGCCCTCGGCCTGGCTGCCCATGCTTACCGGCCTGGTGCTGGATCGCCTGGCGTCCCCTCACCAGAGGACTCCACCCCGCTACGTAGGTAGGACTTCCCTGAGTTCAGGGGAGGCACTGAATCCAGTCAAGACGCGCGTCGGCCAAACACAAGCCAGGAGAAAGCTACCTTAGCGCCGCCCAGGCCTGCCGCCGGGAGCCCGTCCCCCAGCCCCAGTCTGGGCGCAGGGCAGAGAGTAGGCCCCTTTCTATCTCCCAGGAACACGTGGGCTCCTGTCCGAGGCCACCATGTGGGGGGCTCCAGGCGTGCCAAGGTGTCCCCGGAACCAGCATCAAAAGACTGCTCCTAGCGCGGGCCCTAGCTCGGCCCAAAACTGGCAAGAGGAGCACTCCCGGCCTGACTTTTCCACTCAGACCTAGCTAGAGGGGATGCAGACATCTTCCGCAGACCGGAGACAGGCTCTCGCCAAATTCCAGGCCCCGACACTCCCTGAGCCCAAGAACCCTACTGCCTGGTTTCCTCACTCACCCATCGCGGCTCCGCTCGCTCACTTGGCGGCGGCGGCGGCAGCGACGGCAGCTTCAGCGGCAGCTTTCAGTAGACAATATGGCAGACCTGAAGGACGGCAGCTCGAAAGGGACAAACCACTTAACTCCAGGTCGAAACGCGTTATTGGCCCAACCGCCTATCATTACACCGAAAGTGCGCACTTAAAGAGACCGCAGCCACTAAAGGTGGGGAGTGGAAATGAAATACGAAAGGAGTGGCTAGGAGGAGACTGGGAGGGATACCTACGAAAGTTAAGTGTGTCTAGGAGTTCCCAGTTGTTTCTGCTACTATTTCTTTTTTTTTTAATCGTGAAATTTCTTTCCCCTGAACTTTTTCCTCCCGGAAGCTTATCCCCCCCCTTTTTTTTTTGACACGAAGTCTCGCTCTTGTCCCCCAGGCTGGAGTGCGATGGCGCGATCTCGGCTCACTGCAAACTCTGCCTCCCGGGTTCAAGCGATTCTCCTGCCTCGGCCCCCGAGTAGCTGGGATTACAGGTGCCTGCCACCACGCCTGGCTAATTTTTGTATTTTTACTAGAGATGGGGGTTTCACCATGTTGGCCAGGCTGGTCTCGAACTCCCGACCTCAGGTGATCCCGCCCCCCCCCCCCCCCCCACCCCACCCCACCCCACCCCACAAAGTGCTGGGATTACAGGCTTGAGCCACCGCGCCCGGCCAGTTTATCCCTTCTTTTCATAGTTAAAACCAAACGGCTGGGCGCTGTGCCTCACACCTGTAATCCCAGCACTTTGGGAGGCTGAAGCGGGCGGATCACCTGAGGTCAGGAGTTCGAGACCAGCCTGCCCAACATGGTCTCTATTAAAAATACAAAACTTAGCCGGGCATGGTGGTGCGTGCCTGTAATCCCAGCTACTCGGGAGGCTGAGGCAGGAGAATTGCTTTAACCCGGGAGGCAGAGGTTGCAGTGAACCGAGATTGCGCCACTGCATTACAGCCTGGGCAATAAGAGCAAAACTCCGTCTCTAAAAACAAAAACAACAGTCATAGACCCTGGGCTGAATATGAATAACGAATCATCTAGAGAGGGGAAGTGCCTTGCTCAATGAGGCTATGGAGAAAAGGAAATGAAGAGGTAAGACTAAACTCAGGTTTTCTGATTAGGCCTACACAGGTAGCCCTAGTTGAGGTTGCAATCTTATTGGGAGATGAGAAATAGAAAAATAGGGCTAGGTGTGGCGGTTCATGCTTGTCTGTAATCCTAACATTTTGGGAGGCTGAGGTCAAAGGATCACTTGAGGCTAGGAGCTCAAGACCAGACTGGGCAACACAGTGAGACCCCATCTCCACAAAAAATAAAAGAAAAAAATTAGAGGGGGATGGTAATGCGGACTTGTACTCGGAAGACTGAGGCGAGAGGATCACTTGAGCCCAGGAGGTCAAGGCTGCACTGCCATGACTGTGCCACTATACTCCAGGTTGGGTGATAGAGTGAGACTCTGTCTCTGAAAAAACAAAACAAAACAAAAACAAAAACAAAGAGAGAGAGAGAGAGAGAGAAAGAAAGAAATAGGTTGGACGTGGTGGCTCATTCCTGCAATCCCAGCATTTTAGGAGGCTGAGGCGGGCAGATTGCTTCAGCCCAGGAGTTCGAGACCAGCCTGGGCAACATAGCAAGACCCCTGTCTCTTAAAAAAAAAAAAAGAAGAAAAGAAAACAAAAACAATGAGACTTATGCAGTATAGTTGACAGAGTGATTTCATAATCATTATTTCATTTATCCTCACAGCAAGCTCCTTGAGGGCAGGGGTGGGTTCTGTATTGTTTACCACCGTATCTCCAGCACCTAGCACAGAATCTGGCACATTGTGTGTGCTCCATAAATAACTGTTGAATGAATAAACAAAGGAATGAACAGAAAATTGAGTTACACAGAGCAAGGGATATGATCTCCCCTTTTAGAGATGAGGAAATTGAGGCTCTTATTGTTCATATGCCTTTTGAATCATGGGACATATGGCTAGTACATATCAGGCCTTTCTTTTTCTATGACATGCCAGCCCTCCTGTCCCCCACCTCGACACACAGAGCCAGGCTATATCTTCAAGACATAGAGGGATCTATCTTCTGGACGCAGAATGAGGGCCTGTCACAACAAATTGCCAACTTTAGTTGTGTGCCTGGCCCATTTTCTTGCGGGAAAGAAATCAAAAGAAAAACTCTAGGATGAAAGTTCAGGAAGGGGCACACTGTATTTCCCTTCCTACTGCCCCTGCTTACAGTGAGACCTCATCACTTTGCCCTGTTCTATATTGCCTGCCTCCTCTCTGGCCTCCTGCCTCCAGACTCTCCGGCTCCCACCCACTATCTCCTGAAAAGCAGAGACCTGTAATCCCAGCTGGGAAGGCTGAGGTGGGAGAATTGCTTGAGCCCAGGAGTTGAAGACCAGCCTGGGCAACATGGAGAAACGCTGTCTCATTAAAAAAAAAAAAAAAAAAAGGCCGGGCGCGGTGGCTCAAGCCTGTAATCCCAGCACTTTGGGAGGCTGAGACGGGCGGATCACGAGGTCAGGAGACCGAGACCAGCCTGGCTAACATGGTGAAACCCCGTCTCTACTAAAAAAAATACAAAAAATTAGCCGGGCGTGGTGGCGGGTGCTTGTAGTACCAGCTACTCGGGTCTTCTGCTTAGCAACTTCCTACTGCCTGCCCTTAGGTAATGCCCATTTTAATCTGGCACACAGACTGGTCCTTACCTGCTACTTGGGCTACTCCCCACCATGCAACGCAGGCTCCAACCATATTTGGAGAACCACTTTTCTTCAAATACGCTCCTATCTTCTGATGTGCCTTTGCATATGCTGTTCCCTCTGCTTAGAATGCAGTGCCCTCCCTTCCCCACTTAGCCGTGAGAACTACTCACTTTTTTTTTTTTTTTTTTGAGACAAGAGTTTTGCTCTTGTTGTCCAGGCTGGAGTACAATGGCATGATCTTGGCTCACTGCAACCTTCGCCTCCCGGGTTCAAGCGACTCTCCTGCCTTAACCTCCTGACTAGCTGGAATTACAGGTATGCACCACCACACCCGGCTAATTTTTTGTTATTGTTGTTGTTTCTTTTTGAGACAGAGTCTAGCTCTGTCGCCCAGGCTGGAGTAAAGTGGCGCAATCTCGGCTCACTACAACCTCTGCCTCCTGGGTTCAAGCGATTCTCCTGCCTCAGTCTCCCGAGTAGCTGGGATTACAGGTGCCTGCCACCATACCCAGCTGATTTTTGTATTTTTAGTAGAGACGGGGTTTCACTGTGTTGGCCAAGCTGGTCTCGAACTCCTGACCTCGTGATCCACCCGCCTCAGCCTCCCAAAGTGCTGGGATTACAAGCGTGAGCCACTAAGCCCAGCCTAATTTTTGTGTTTTTAGTAGAGACGGGGTTTTGCCATGTTGACCAGACTGGTGTTGAACTCCCGACCTCAGGTGATCCACCCACCTCAGCCTCCCAAAGTGCTGGGATTACAGGTGTGAGCCACCGCGCCCGACTCTGAGAACTACTCACTTTCAAGACCCAACTCAGCTATCAGCTCTTTGGGGAAGCCTGTCTTTCCAGATAGGGTACCTGTCCTCTCTGCTACTACAGGAAGAAATGGACACTAGTTTTCCTTAGCATTTCACACCCAAATTTGCTCATAATGTGTGTCCATTTCTCCTTGTTGTCTTTGGAAGGGACAGTATCTTCCTTATCTTTGTAACCATTCCAGTGTTCAGCACAGTGTCCACCTCAATAGAGGCACCAAAAATATTTGTTGAGGTGTGTGTCTCTCATATACCACTGTGAGCTTGTCTGCATACCTTATTGCCAAGAAGGGCTCAGGGAACATGGGCTGAATAGATGAGAATGGCTGAGTGTCCATGTGTCCTCTCCTTTCAGCCTAAACCCTCTATCCTGTGCCCATAGGAGGCAGTGACCTTACAAGCAGCTGTTTCTACTCTAGCATGTGACCCTGCTCATATACCTTTGCTAGCCTAGGACTACTGGTCCTCCCTGATCCAGCCTCTGTTGACCTTTCCCACTCCACTTTTTTTTTTTTTTTTTTTTAGACGGGGTGTCCCCCCGCCACCCGTGGCCGGATCTCAGCTCACTGCGAGCTCCGCCTCCCGGGTTTACGCCATTCTCCTGCCTCAGCCTCCCGAGTAGCTGGGACTACAGGCGCCCGCCACCTCGCCCGGCTAAGTTTTTTTTTTTTTTTTTTGTATTTTTTAGTAGAGACGGGGTTTCACCGTGTCAGCCAGGATGGTCTCGATCTCCTGACCTCGTGATCCGCCCGTCTCGGCCTCCCAAAGTGCTGGGATTACAGGCTTGAGCCACCGCGCCCGGCCTTTTTTTTTTTTTTTTTTAAACTCTTCCTGCTCTAAGATCTGCATTTTGTTTACCTTCCCCGAAACACACCAGGATGCTCCAATCTGTGTGCTACTACATGTGCACTATTACATTTGCCTGCTTCTCTAACTGAAACACCCTTTTCCTCTCTTGTCCACCTAGGAAGTGGCTAATACAATTCAGACTATCCCCTCCTCCAAGAAGCCCAGAGAAAATTAAACATTCTCTCCCCTCTGCTCTGCTGTACCTTGTAACTGTTGGGCTCATCCCAGTGTAGTATTACTTGCTTGTTCGTGTCTTGGCATCCTCACCATCTAGCATAATACCCAGTAAGGAGGGTCTCAGTGACTACACGCTGAGAGAATCAAGACATCACCTTCTGCCAGGATAGTAGTGTCATCTTTCAGAGGTTTTTTATTTTTGAGATGGAGTTTCGCTCTTGTTGCCCAGGCTGGATCTTGGCTCTATTTTGGCACTGCATGATTGCAGTGGCACGATCTTGGCTCACTGCAACCTCTGCCTCCAGAGTTTAAGCAATTCTTCTGCCTCAGCCTCCTGAGTAGCTGGGATTATAGGCATGCACCACCCACCATGCCTGGCTAATTTTGTATTTTTAGTAGAGACAGGGTTTCTCCATGCTGGTCAGGCTGGTCTCAAACTGCTGACCTCAGGTGATCCACCTGCCTCGGCCTCCCAAAGTGCTCGGATTACAGGTGTGAGCCATGGTGCCCGGCCTTATTTTTATTCTTTTTTAAGAC